TGTCTTATATTATTGTCAACTGAATATCTTTTAAGGTTTTTGACTGTTGGTCGTATAAAACAAGACGTATAAAGACGTCACCTCGGACTCTGAGAAATCACGGGCACGTGTTCACTACTTTCTCACTCTTTTACAGACTAAACGAGGAATTAACAATCGAAAAGCAATTGCCAGATTAGATGATAACAATTATTAGTTGCTTCCCTAATTTCTGTGTTACGTTGACCATATGATCACACCAGGGCTGCAACTAGTTATTATTTAATGTTCAATTAATCTGATTATTCATTTTGTCTGTTTAAGGACAGAAATTGAAGTACTTCTAAAATTGTGATCACTAGTTGACATCCTAACGTTGATTATTTTGTCTTTGTATTTATTTTACTACAGGTTCTCAGCTCTAAATCTTACCAGGGAACATAAACGCACACATAGATGACTGATAGATTTTTATATTGGAATAAAAGAATGTTTGAAATGGTTGATCTAGAATGTGAATGAGAAAGTTTAAAAGCCTCAATCACTGGATCAACAAAAGACTGTAATGACCCAGCCCACTACATATGAACAATGAATCAATTCTTCATCGTAAAACATTTCAGTTTCCCTCTGCAGAGAAATAAAAGCATCTTTGTAGCCCCCGGACACCTCCTGTGAAATTCCATCTGTATTTTATTTGGAGGCGCTTGCTGTCCTCTGTGCTCCTTCTGGCTCTCTGTGCTGCAGGAAGTGAGTCCGTACCGAGGAGGATGCAAATGTGTGGTGGAGATGAGTGCTGCTATGAATCAGACAATAGTCATGGGGGCGGGGGGCGTACTCCGTCACAAAGACAGATGACCAGTTCACAGGACATGAGTAAAAACATTCCTTGTCTCTGGCATGCAGCCTATATCCTGGACTTTGTCTTTGCACATTCATCGTTGGGATGGTTAAGTATTGGCTCACCTCCAACTGCTGCTTGGGAAAAAGAAAACAGTTGGAGAATGGGCGTAACACCAAACACCATCAGGAAGCTTGTCGATAGATTTACATGTTTCCCCCCCTCAGGATGTTTTGCCTTTAGCGACATGCTCGTCTGTTTAAAACACAAACAGCCAAACACACAGTCTCGTGTGTGTGTGTGTGTGTGTGTGTGTGTGTGTGGGAATGGGTGAGTTTGAAAGATGTTTTTAGTTCTTTTTCTTCTTTTGTCTCATTGTAAAATGTTTCATGAAACCACATAAAAAGTCAGTTTTCTTTCTACTCCCTAATTTTCTGTACATGTGTGCAGAGAGGCATGCATACACACGCATACACGCATGCATGCAT